CACACACACACACACACACACACACACACACACACAATATTCATTAAAGACACCCACGTTCGCTCCGCACACTTCCTCTCCAAAGCCACTTAAACCAAGTGCACATCAATCACTGTCATGGACCTGCTCATTCACGGCCTTCAATGAGCAACACAGGCCAAAGGTGGAGGCAGCAAACAAACACAGTGTCCATGAGAGTGTGTGTGTCCGTGTGTGTGCTGAGAATTGAATATAGCCATTTGTATAATCTCTCCGTGCGTCCAGCGCTCGGTCCCATTACATACTTCAGCATGCTTGCAGTTGTCAGTCAAACAGCTTTGAAGAGAAGGGCAGCCCTCCTGGCCGCCTCTCAGCCACTGTTTACAAAACCCCGATAGGGCTGACACGTGAAGGACTTGACAAATTTTCTTAGACAAGGGCTTTGTCGACGGCCCATTCTCATATCGCGGGAACTGTGGTGGCTCCCATGGAAGGAGAAAAAGTACCTCTCAGTGCAGGAGAGATCCGTGTGGACGGTGCATTATTAGAGTCCCTCCCCTCCCAGATACCTAATAATTAGATTAAAAGTTCAAATAAATTACGGTAGAGTCTGAACGTGGGAGTGAAGAGGCTGGGCCTTTTCGTCCCTGCTCTCGCTCTCTCCATCGTGCCGGTTCCATCATCCACTGAGGGGTCTTTTTTTTTCCCTGCCGTGATCCTTTTCTTCAGTTTTTTGCAGCCTAACAGTGCAGACAATGGGAGCGCAGACACAGTTGTAGGAAAAATTACTGCTTTACATTTTTCCTCTCTGTCTCTTTTTCCTCTCCACTCCTTTGGCATGAAAGGAGGGAGGGATGATTTTCTTTTTCTTCTTAGAGAGGGAGAGGAATGGGGAATGGACTGCTTGACGGGGGAAAAGGTTCCTGTCGTTAAATATTCTTTTTTAATCAGTGAGAAAACTTTGGTGAGAAAGGCAGGGATGAAAAGGTGGGAGGGGGAATGAAATGAAACATTCTTGTGCTGATCTTGTGCTCAGAGGGAGGAGTAGGCTCGGGCCTTTGTGTGGACAACTAAAACATCTTTTGTCATAGGGTGCTCAATAAAGGCAAAGAATATGTGTGAAAATGGAGCGCAGGCCTGCAATGAACCCGCAAAACCAGACTGGGCTTTACTACTGCGTCACCGTTTTACAAAAGCACCTCGAGCCGCAGTGACGCCAACTTGTTTTATAGTTAAACATTTTCTTTGGGGAAACTGGTAAACTGAGCTTCAATGTTACAACATTGAATATGACACTTTAAGAAAAAAACACTTTTGCTGCTTTGACGTTAATGATCTCAAACTTCACCAAACTTCCTACCAACTCTCTAAACTTCGGTTAAAATGACTATTCTGGCTCGTAAAGCTGTCAGGTCAGTGTGATCAGAGGAGCTAGTGTCTCTCAGCCAATTGATGCTTGTGATCTTCAGCCGTCACCACCAGTGACCAGGGATGAAGGGACATCTGTGCCTGTTGCCTCAGGCTGGGATGTTTCTTGCCATTTTCACTTTGCACAAACACATGACACTTTCCACTATTCAGCCCGATCCTTGTGGCAATACATCTAATGATTCTCTGGCCCCTCAGGGCTCAGTGTATTAGCTGGACTTAATGCTTCCGGCCTGTGTGCGTGTGTGCGTGTGTGCGTGTGTGTGCCCCCGGGCCAAACATGGCAGCCTTGCACTAAGTTATGCTGTGAGGCGTTAAGGATAAGTCTGGGTGGTCAGGAATGGTGATAAAGTGCAGCCGGGTCAACATTAGAGCTGTAGCCCTGTGGCTACGACCATCAATGTTAAGTAACATGAAGACACACAGATGAGAGTGGACACGGACGGATTTTCAGAACTGATAACATTCAATCCATGAGAACAAACTTCTTTTCCTCTGTGTTCATGGTTTACAACAAAATGTACCAAAACTGATTTTGATGGGTGACAGATTTCAGAAACTTCCTCTGGGATTTTTTACTCAAAATGTTATTGTTTGAATTGTGCATTTTTAAATTTAAGCTTTTTCTGCATTTTTTAATTCTTGGTTGTTTCTATGATGCATGTCACTGCATCACAGAAACATGCATCTCACCATAGCAACCCCCCTCCCTCCCTGCATTCTCTAGTTTAGATTCAAGGAAAACAGTTGATACACACATTGAGTGTGATTGCATTTGCTCTTCATCACATTTCAGAAACCAGGGTACCAAGGAGCATTACCTTCTSTACAGACGGTTTAGAAGTGTGTGACAGACACTCAGTCCTCAACTKGTTTTCTTCTGATTACTTGGTTGGTTGAACTTGGATTACTTCTTTCACTGGAAGACAACTACGATTTCTTTGGATCAACATGATGCCAAAACAAAAGCAAAACATGTTAGTTCTTGTGGAGGGAGAGAAGAGAAACGTCTTCCAGAGGCAAAGTGACAGGGAGGCAGGTGTGTTCTCCTCAAGGAAGCCAAGAAACAAACCTGATTGGAGGGGCGACAACAAACCAYGGCCTCAATCCAAGCCTGTTGTCTCTCTCAACACTGCCTCCTATAAGAGGACAGAGAAGACAGAGGATGAAGCTCCAGCTGCCTCTGAAGAACCTGTGAGCAAGGAGGAGCAGGTCAAGCCCGAGGAGTCCATCAGCTGTGTCACTGAAAACTTTCAAGCCTTCGTGACTCAGCTCAGGGACACGATGATGGACACTGAGGAGAGCCTGCAAGAAATGGTTGAGCTCATTTTTGAGAGGGCCATGCAGCGTCCCAACTCTGCTGGACTCTTTGCCGAGCTGTGCCAACTCCTCTCAAAAGTAAGTTATGCATCTATGCCTGGAAGCTWCTTTTATCCTTTTTCTAGTTGAGCAGCTTATCTTTTTTGCAGGTTATAAAATTAATTTAATCAAATGATGAGTTCATTTTGAGTTGAGGATAAAAATCACTATGTTTATGAGTATGTGAGTTGCATTTGTGTTAATGTTTCCTTCTGGTTTTCTCCTCTTCAGGTCAACGTCCCATCAGACAGCGTCTCCTTCAGGTCTCTGCTTGTCAAACACTGCCAGGCCGAGTACARGAAGAGCTTTGTAATGGAGGACATTTCTCAAAAGGGGTCTTTTCTGGACCCAGTCAGGGACGTGAGGGTGCTTGATCGGCTGAGAGAAGAGCGAAACAACGCCAGCCCCTCCCCTCGCTCCCTCAATACCATCAGATTTCTTGGGGAGCTGTTCAAATCCAAGGTTCTGGGTGAGAAAGTGATGCACAGCTGCATCAAGAGGCTGCTGCAGAACGGAGATGGGCCGTCTCTTGAGAGCCTCTGTGAGCTCCTCCGTCTCATCCAGCAGGACCTGGAGGTGGTCACGTCCAGGAAGGTGATGGACTCCTACTGTCACCAGCTGGAGTTCATTGCACA